ACTGACCATTTTCATCCCAGGGCCCTCGTCCACCAGCTGATTTAACGAGTGTAAACTTACATCAGTGCTACTCAAACAATGGGGCAGCAGAGCTGAATGTGTTATTGGAACACAGGCAATATAATAAGTGGAAATCTTGGACCTACCAAGTGCAACTGGACCCATTCTGATACCGTAATATAAATATTGTTGCTTTCTCTGTCAAACTAAGCACTATCGGTGCATTAGCACCATTCGGGTATAATTGAATTTCTTAAAGCAGCGCCGATTCCAGCGACATTTTTGGAGAGATAAGGAATTAAACAAATGTAGCCAGGCTCAATAAACGTTGGAGCAGCTTACTGGCTCCTCTGAGAAAGACCTTTTCTCTCTGAAAGAGCTTCTCAACTCCCCGATATCAGATTTTGCAGTGGAAATTGTCTTTGGCTGTGATTGTTGGAGCGAAGCAGGAGATTATTGTCTAATCCTTCGCTTCTCATCTTTGAGGTAAAAATACTTAGCAGTTCTGAAGGGAAGCAGACACATTCAGACCCCAGGCCTCAAATTTAGCTGATGCGCAACACACTACCTAGCATGAACAAAATCCTCAGATAAGACGAATTAATGTATTTGAGATTAGATTGGCTGTAAGGCAGTGTCTGAATAGGCTCAGTCCATGTCTGCAGTTCAGCTGTTGGCCAAATTCAGAATCACTCATCATTCAGGCCACACATGATTTGTACCAGCAGGGCTCTGCAGAAACAAACACAAATTTGATCACTCATTCATTTATTGACCACCCAGCTGTACACACTCCCTGTCCCTAGTGTGTTCATTTATTCAATAATGATGAGAGTGTGCATGTTACTATACTTCAGTTCCTTTCCTCAGAATTCACACGTGCCTCTAAAGAAAATCCAAACTAAAAATCTCCAAAAGCATCGTAACCCAAGTAGATTGGGACCCCTTCTTCTTCCTTTCTGACACAATCATGTGATGTTGTTCAGCAATGATGTCACCATTAAACTTTTTGGAGAGTGTAAAGCAGACCAGAGCTTCATAAGTCAATGTCACTAAAGTGCAGCTTCCACGTCTTTAATGTGCACTGCACAGTACTGGTGACACAGGGAACCTCGTCACTCAGTATGCTTGTCACTGGCTGGATCAGCCACAGGGTGATCGGAAAGTGACACAATGCAAATTGCATCCATATGAACAAAGCAAATGTGCATAGCAACAGTAAAAATCAAAGTATATGTGTTTAGATCTTTCCACACAAAATAATAACAAATATTATATACAGAAAATGTGCATGACCATTATTATAGACTGCTATAGTGTAGAGCATGACTCTAGCAATGTCTTGGGTTTGATTCTGAGGGTTTGCATGAAGCGATAGGATTGGTGAAAATAGCAGAGTGATTTATTTGATGAATACAGTCTGTTTATGACATCACAGAACTGGATTTTGTTTCTGGTATGCAGTGTTCTTGACCTCCAACACACAAACCACAATGACAGCAAACAAATCACATGCTCTTTAAATTTACACGCCATAACACAATACTCAGAGACAACAACACAGTTATAGTAACATAAATAATAAAGCTGTTAATCGTTCTGATTATTTGTAGCCCCCCCTCCAAAAAAAGTGCTCTTTGCAAAATATTGAGCTCATGCCATTGG